CAAGAACGGAAATAATTTAGGTAATGATGAAAATGTGAGGCAGTGTTGATGTGCCACACCAAGGGCATCACACCGGCCTGGTGATGGTTCATGTGCCACACCAAGGGCATCACACCGGCCTGGTGATGGTTCATGTGCCACACCAAGGGCATCACACCAGCCTGGTGATGGTTCATGTGCCACACCAAGGGCATCACACCGGCCTGGTGATGGTTCATGTCCCACACCAAGGGCATCACACCAGCCTGGTGATGGTTCATGTGCCACACCAAGGGCATCACACCGGCCTGGTGATGGTTCATGTGCCACACCAAGGGCATCACACCGGCCTGGTGATGGTTCATGTCCCACACCAAGGGCATCACACCGGCCTGGTGATGGTTCATGTGCCACACCAAGGGCATCACACCAGCCTGGTGATGGTTCATGTCCCACACCAAGGGCATCACACCAGCCTGGTGATGGTTCATGTGCCACACCAAGGGCATCACACCGGCCTGGTGATGGTTCATGTGCCACACCAAGGGCATCACACCAGCCTGGTGATGCTTCATGTGCCACACCAAGGGCATCACACCGGCCTGGTGATGGTTCATGTGCCACACCAAGGGCATCACACCAGCCTGGTGATGGTTCATGTGCCACACCAAGGGCATCACACCGGCCTGGTGATGCTTCATGTGCCACACCAAGGGCATCACACCAGCCTGGTGATGGTTCATGTGCCACACCAAGGGCATCACACCGGCCTGGTGATGCTTCATGTGCCACACCAAGGGCATCACACCAGCCTGGTGATGGTTCATGTGCCACACCAAGGGCATCACACCAGCCTGGTGATGGTTCATGTGCCACACCAAGGGCATCACACCGGCCTGGTGATGGTTCATGTGCCACACCAAGGGCATCACACCAGCCTGGTGATGGTTCATGTGCCACACCAAGGGCATCACACCGGCCTGGTGATGGTTCATGTGCCACACCAAGGGCATCACACCGGCCTGGTGATGGTTCATGTCCCACACCAAGGGCATCACACCGGCCTGGTGATGGTTCATGTGGCACACCAAGGGCATCACACCAGCCTGGTGATGGTTCATGTGCCACACCAAGGGCATCACACCAGCCTGGTGATGCTTCATGTGCCACACCAAGGGCATCACACCGGCCTGGTGATGGTTCATGTGCCACACCAAGGGCATCACACCAGCCTGGTGATGGTTCATGTGCCACACCAAGGGCATCTCACCGGCCTGGTGATGGTTCATCACTTGTGGTCTCAGTGCTGTCTCAACCCCTCTGATATCTTGTTGAAAAGGGTAGTGTTTGTACGATTCATCATTATGACGTTTCATTCTTTCTGTATTAAATGAAGATGTATGGGAATATAACTATAGTAAGAGCAAAACAACCTACAGTAATATTTGTTGGTTCATTTTATCAAGGCACTCGTCAAATTTTATGCATAGTAAGAACTACCATAACACAATTACATTCCTAAAAAAAATTATAGAAACGTCAAATTTCAAATCTCATTGTTAATGATCTTATGGGAAAATTTGTGTTTGGTTCCAGAGACCCTAGTTTAAGGGTATTTACACATATTTTTGTACATCAATATTATACAGTAATATCACCTAAGAAATATTGTAACTATGAAAATCATTGTAATATACTCTTTATTATAATCATATAAACAGAAAATAAAAGAATGTTTTATATTTACTGAATTAACCCTCAGCATGTGACTATTAATGTATTGTCATACCTGTCTATGGGAATTTTTTTTTCAGTTAAGAAAAAATTTGCAAGAAACTTAATACATTAATATGCACCTTTTTTACTGGTTGGATAAGCTGTGAAAAGTTATAATTACCTAAGTGCTCTCATACAGGATGAGAGCAACGCTCGTGGTGTCCCGTCTTCCTAACACTCATATAATGCTTTGTTACTACTGACGGTCTTGGCCGCCACCATTACCACCACCACAGTTAACTTGTTCCATCCGTCTACCACTCTGTCCAAGTGAACTTTCTTATATGATCTGTATTTCTTTGGCAGCTTTGTTTAGTTGAAATCTTTAACTTCTTATTCTTGAAGGTCTCGGTCTCTGGAATTCTTCCTTGTTAATTTCCCCTCCTTTCTAGCCCGTTGTCATCGTGAGGGGGGGGGGGGGGGGGGGCTTGGTGGACAGCTGCCTGGGTGTGATGCTCCATGGGACAGTCCTCTGTTCTTTTGAAGCCTTATGCTGTTGCCATCTTCACTAATTTTGTTAGAAACTATTTCCTTTTCCTTGTCTTTCATTTCCCCCCCCCCCTCTTCTCCTTTCTAATTGTTATTTCCTGCCGACCTTTTGCCATTCTTGATTATTCTTTCAGACTACTTATGTTTTGACGCCCGGGTGTGTGAGGCGGCACACACATTCGCCCGTCGATCTGTGGCACCTGACGTCGTGAGCGAGGGGGGGGGGGGGATGCTTTTATTGTCAATCCTCGCCTTCATTGCTGAACCTGATCTCGACGGACTGACGGTTCTTAAGGTGGCGATTGTGGGGTGTATACTCACGATGCTTCCCTGTTTTGTCGGGTGTCCTATTCTTTAATTGTACTTCCATGGTGGGTATGGGGGCTTATTCGTGAATGAATTTCTTACCTGCTCGTTGTTATGCTGATGATTGACCCTCTTTTCACTTCCCAGACAAGTGGGGTGGGCGACCAAGCCCCCCAAGTTGGACTGTGATGGAAGACCAGGCTCTGTAGCCCCCACTACATTGGGCCCAGACCATGCTCCTCCTGCCACGCTCCCTACTGCCTTTCTCTTGCTTCCCTCCCACCTCGGTGGCAGGGTTGAGCCCCAAGCCCCCAGTGGTGACGACCTCATCACCTGGCGTGGTTCCGTCTCTAGTTGTCACAACTGCGCCTTTTACCCTCTCTTACTGGGGTGCTCGGCGTCGTCACCTCTGCAGTCGCTCGCACTTCATTCCTTCTCAGTCTCCTCCTTTCCAGGCTTTGTTTGGTCCTGCTACATGGACTAAGTATTTTTATTTTAGTCATGGTGACCCTACTCGTTCTCATGATTTATTTCTCCATGAGCACCTTGTTGATTTGGTGGATACATTGGTCACCTTTAACCCCTCCCGTACTGGTACCCGTGTTGTTGCAGACTGCGTGGCTTTATTGTCCTGCACTGGGGAGACCCCTATTCGGATCTCCAAAAATGCCCGGTTGAATGCTTGCATTTGGCACAATTCTTCTCTTGCACAATGTCAGGACTGGTGACGGAACTAAAGGACTGCCACGAGGATATTAAGTATATCCTTGAGGCCCAAGGCCTCAAGGATATATGCCAAGTGGATACCGTCACTCAACCCCCTCATGGTCGCCGCCGTCAGCTTCTTCGCGTTGTGAGGGTCACATTTGATGGTAGGTCCCTTCCCTCTTCAGTCATTCTTGCTGGTGCCAGATGCTCCATTTAGGAGTACATCCCCTCTCCTCGTCTCTGCAGAAGGTGCTGGAGACTTTGGCATGGTCCCTTAACTGTGCTCACGTGAGGGGTCTGTGAGCCCCCTTGTGTGGAACCTCTGGTCATTCTAAGATGGAATGCCCTTCCCAAACTCTGCATCAGTTGCAGTGACGCCCACCCTTCCTTCTCCCGCATTACAAATTTGAGGACGCCATCCTCAATTTGAAGCATCGTGGTCATTTGTCTTTTCCTGAGGCTAGGCGCCAGGTTCGCCGTCTTCCCTCTTTCTCTGGCATGTCTTATACTCGTGTGTGTTGTTCCTCCTTCTCGTCCTCTCCCACTTTCTCAGTTTTGCAACTGTTTCGAGACCTTGGACATCGACACTTTCACCACCTCATCTGCTTCGTCTGCTCCTTTGCGTTCTGGACCAGAGGGTCCTCCTCCGTCTGGTGTTTCCTTCCTTCCTGGTCTTGTCTCCTGTGCCCTCCTTTCCTTCTTGCCTCACCCCTCTTCAGCCTGTCTGTCTCTTGGTCTACCTCGCTGCCTGTCTGTTGAGGCCATTGTCCATCCTCCTCCCAGCATTCGTCATGTTGCCCGTTCCCGTTCTCCTGTTGAAACTGTAGATGCAGTCGCCAAGTATATTGCTGATAGTACGCCTGTCTACGTCAGAAGCGTAAGCCTGGCTTCTCTCCTTCTTTCTCCCTAGCAGGTAAGAAGGCTTCGATGTATTCCTCACCTTCCGACTCTGACACTATTCCTGCTTCACTTCGCTTTTCAATGGCGGGGTTTCCTGTCCCTCCTATGGAGGTTTCCTTGGTCCTTGATCCTTTCTTGGATGCTGCCCTTGTTCTGGTTCCCTCACCTGTTTGTCCTTCCTGCCTCCGATTCCCTTGACCAGCCCTCTCTGTTGCCTCCTCCCGCTCCAGACTCTGTCTATTCTCCTCGGGTCTGTTCTGCTCCCTTGTCTCGGTTATCTTTGCTGGCTTTACCTCTGCCCAGTCACCCTGATTTCATAGATTTTGATCTTGCTCTTCCTAAGTCTACTGTGTTCTACTTTGCCTTTGTTTCACCCTTGTTATGTGTTTCTGTTCTCTCGTTTTTGTCTATATCTGTTCTTCAATGGAATATTCGTGGTTTTTATGCCAACATCCATGAACTCCAACTTCTGATCGCACAGTTTTCCCCGCTTTTGTGATTGTCTCCAGGAGCCGATGCTGAGTGCTTGTCCTGGTCGCTTCCATGGTTATTCCCTTCTCTCTTCCCCTCCAGCTCCTGCTGGGGCCCATGCCTCTGCTCTCTTGATCCGTCTTGATATTCCCTTCGTCCCCTTACCTTTTCAGTCTCCCATTCAGTGTTTTGTGGCCCGTATTTTTGTGAGTAAATGATTTACAGTCTGCTCCATTTATCTCCCCCCCCCAAATGTCCCACTTTCTCTTGCTGATCTATCTTAAACACCTGTTGGACTCCTTACCAGAGCCTGTGGTCATGTTGGGTGATTTTAACTGTCGGCATTCCCTCTGGGGTGGTGGTGTGACAAACACCGGAGGCCGCCTCCTTGAACCTTTTGTCCTCTCTCTGTCACTTCTGAATTCTGGTGAGCCAACTCATGTTGACTCCCGCAGTCGGACCCTTTCCTGTCGTGATCTTTCTGCTCGTCTTCTCTTTATTTGGACATCACATGGTGGGTTCTTGATGACCTACATAAGTGACCATTTCCCTATCCCTGTCACCTTTTTTTCACCTTCCCCTCTCCTTCCCTAGGTGACAGTTTGCCAGGGTTGACTCCTTCTCAATTTGGTTTTCGCAAGTGCCGCAGCACGACTGATGTCCTGGTGAACTTGGAGGTCTATATTTGTACTGTTTTTGCTGCGAAGACCTCCGTTGTTGCTGTCCTTTTTGACTTGGAAAAGGCTTATGACACGACTTGGAGATACCATATTCTGTCCCAACTTCGTTCTTTTGGCCTTCGTGGTAATCTCCCTCTCTTCCTTCAAAGCTTTTTCTCTCGTCGTACCTTTCAAGTCAGGCTTGGTGCCACTCTCTCTGCCTCTTTTCAGCAGTATAAAGGTGTGCCCCAAGGTAGTGTTCTGAGTACTACTATTTTTTTTTCTGGTTGCCCTCAATGGCCTCCTTTCCACCCTTCCTTCTGGCATCTCCGCACTTTGTGTTGATGATCTTACTCTTTGCTGTCTGGGTGATGATTTGCCTCTCCTTCAACGGCGGCTTCAACTTGCGATTGATGCCTTGTCATCTTGGGCCACCAATCATGGCTTCAAGTTCTCTACTACTAAGACTTGTGCCATGACTTTTACTCGGAAGCGGGTCGTTCTTCGTCCCTCTGTCACTTTATGGTCATCCTCTTGGGTACAAAGATTCCACGAAGCTTTTGGGGTTATTCTTTGACACTCGTTTGTCTTGGTCGCTCCATGTCTCTTACCTCCGTGTTGAATGCTCTAAGGCCCTTAACCTACTTAAGGTTTTGTCCCATACTTCTTGGGGAGCGGATAGGCGCACGCTCCTCTATTTGCATTCCTCTCTCGTACTGTCTAAGCTCTATTATGGTTGCCCTGCATACTCTTTTGCTTCTCCTTCTACTCTTCGCCGTCTTGATCCTTTGCACCATACTGGGTTGCGCTTCAGCTCTGGTGCTTTTCGTTCAACTCCTGCCCTCAGCTTGTACGCTGACACTGGCTTTCTGTCTCTCCAGGATCGCCGTGAACGCTACAGTCTTCGCTATCTTGCACGATCCTTATAGCATCCTCACTCTCGCCTCTATCCTGTCTCGCTTACAAGATTCTCTTTCGTTTCGTATTACTAATGTTTCTCGTATTGTTCCGTCCTTGCCCCCGTGGAGGGTCCCCCTTCCCAAATTTTGTACTTCTCTGACCCGCATCACTGAAGCTTTTACCCCTCCTACAGTTCTGAAACGCCTCTTCCTTGACCACTTTTCTTCTCACTCCCACTCCGTTGCCATCTTCACCGACGGGTCAAAGTCTGCTGACGGTGTGGGCTACTCTGTTGTTTTTCCTGACCACACTTATATGTGTCGCCTTCCTCCAGAGGCCAGCATCTTCACAGCAGAACTCTATGCTATTCTCTATGCTCTTCGTCTCCTGCTTTCCCGGGGGCAGTCCTCCTTCGTGGTAGTAGTTGACTCTCGTAGTGCCCTCATGGCTTTAGGGTCCTTTAATCTAGTCCACCCTGTGGTCATCGAGATTCAACATTGGCTGTTTCTTATCTCCAGTAAATTTAGGTCGGT